CTATGTGTTTGTTTATTCTTGTTATTATCTACTACTTAATGAAGGAAATCATACGGTATTTGACCTTCTCCCTCTGACTTATTTCACTTTGCATTATACCCTCAATGTCCATGAAATTTAAATATGATTTCAAGTATGCTGTATTTATATACATCTGATACTGAAAGCTAGATTTTAATAACTTTTCACTTTATAAATATAAGAAATTATAAATCATATATTTTCAGCTTTGCTTGATTCTGTTAATTTTTTGAGGTCATGATTTTAGAATAAGAATTATTGAATCAAAGAATAGAAACTTTTCTAGGCCTTTGGTATACTTAGCTATATGACATTCAGAAGGGTTATACCAATTTCTTAGATCAGTTTTCATATCCACTGTCAGACACTCTCACTCTCTTCCTGGAGTGGCTAAGTAGGGTCAGGTTTATCGGCTGGATCCAGACCCATGCCTGAGAGGTTGTACCCTCCTCCAGTCATTCTGGGAGACAGAATTCCTGTTAAGAACTGTTTCTGGAGCCCTCTTCACCTCATTGTTCCTCAAGACATAAATGAGAAGGTTTAGCAGTGTGGTGTCAGCTGTGAACACCGGAGAGAGAAGCTGATTCTACTTGAGGATTTATCTGTGGTTGGGGCACAGGTGCAGGAAGATGTTACAGCCATCCAGCAGTAGGTGAGAACAGGGGTGCCACCTGTTGAGTGGATCTACGAGCAGCCATTATGGAAGCAGGAAGAGGTGAGGAAGGAGGAACAGCAGAGCCTTACTGAAAGCCACCAGCAAAGACGGCTCATGCAGGCAGTGCTGGCAGCAACCAGAGACAGTTTTCAATACTCTAGCATGACCGACACATAGTAGGTGCTTAGTCAATGAATGCTAATTCCTGGCCACTCCCTGACATGGCAGAATGAAAGAAAATGAAGGTGATCAGTTGGGATATATGGAATGAGGGAAACTGATGCACTAAATAAGCTATCGTTTGCCATATATTGAAATCTAAAACAATAATAAAATATATTTCTTTGAGTAAAGTATATGTCTTTATGATATAGTCCTTTTTTAAGGCACTTTTCACAGACTAAATTAATATTACTGTCTCCTCAGAAAGCAGGATTTCTAAAGATAACAACCTTTATTCTCAGGGTGTATGGGGTGTTCCTAGTAGAGCAATTGCCCTGAGTGTGACCACGGTGAGCTGTGGTCTTTAAAGTAGCGCTAGGACACTAGAGTCCTGCATTGGAAGTTTTGTCCAAGTTTCAAATCTGATTCAAAGCACTTGAAGAATATGAGTGCAGATTGTGGACATGGGGCAAATATGGCAAAAGAGAAATATCAACTGCAAAGTGTGATAAAGTATTATAATTCTGCATTTGTCATTTAGAGTTTATTATTATGGCAAATGACAGACACCCACCTCAGGCCCCCTAAGCCTTCAACTGGTGTCAGATGCTGCTTTATGAATGATAGCATTCCTCAGAGCAGCTTTGACATCCTTGTTGCCCAGAGTAGAGATCAGGGGGTTAAGTAAGGGGATGACAAAGGTGTAGACCAGAGCGATTTGGCGGTCCTCATCCTCTGAGGTGCTGGACCGGGGACGCGGGTAGACCAGGCTGCAATAGCCATACTTCAGCAAGACCACGGTGAGGTGGGAGGAGCCGGTGTACAGAGCCCGGCGGCGGCCCTCAGCAGAACGGATGCGCCGGTGATGAACACATAGGAGACACAGATAAGCAGAAAGGGGACAGTCAGCACCAGGATGCCCATGACATAGAGGACGGCCTGGTGCACGCGGATGTCAGCACAGGCCAACCGCAAGACTGGAGGCACATCACAGAGGAAGTGGTTGATTTCGCGGTGGTGCCCGCAGAAGGGCAGGGTGAGGATTAAGGAGGTGAACTGCAGGGAGAGGAAGAGGGCCAGGCCCAGGGTTCTGGCCAGCATCTGGACGCACAGCTTCTGGGTCATGACGAGGGTGTAGTGCAGTGGGTGGCAGATGGCCACGTAGCGATCATACGCCATGACCGCCAAGAGGAAACAGTCCGTGCTGCTAATAGTGACAAAAAAGAACATTTGGGCTCCACAACCAGGCAACGGAATGGGCTTCTGGGCCCCCAAAATGTTAGAAAGCATCAATGGCACCACAACTGAGGTGTAGCAAACTTCCAGGAAAGACCGATTGGAGAGGAAGAAGTACATTGGGGTGCGGAGGAAGCTGTGTGTGCACACCACCCAGGTGGTGGCGGTGTTGCTGCAAAGCATCATCAAGTAGAGGAGGAGGAAGAGGAGGAAGAGGAGGACCTGGAATTCAGGCACAGCTGTGAACACATGGAACACAAACTCAGTGGGGCCGGATTGGTTGAGGGCAGGGCTCCCAGCAAACATGTCTCCTGCAAAAGAAGAACAGAAAAGTGCTGAATATCCATTTGCTGTGTTGCTTTATTGCCTGAAGAAAAGCATGGGTTTTAAATTTGATTTTTTATCTGGAATTGCCTGTTTAATATCCAATTTCTAGTCTCAGTGCTTGGAATGAATTCACAATAGAGGGTATGGTATATTTATCTGTGGAAATCTTCATGAATAGGATAGATACTCATCTGCAGAAGTTTCTGCTGACAAACACATGTAGATGTTCCCAGAGAAATGTGTTTTTTTACTCTGGTATTTTAAATTTGCTTGACATGGGCTAATTCTTTGCTTGTATTTAATTAAACTAAAGAGTTGCACAGTTGTAGATATATTCAAAATGAGATAAATGGATGTGTTGTTCACTTCTTGGGTGAACATTCTTCTTGAAATATAACATACATACAGAGATGTTCACAAATCCTAAGTGTACAGCTTTATTTATTTTTTACATGGTAAATACACCAGTGTAACCACTACCAAGATTTAAGAAATAGAACAATTCCAGTAACCTACAAGCATCCTTCATGTCTTCCCTCAGTCTTTTTCCCTTTTTGACTTTTATCACTGCAGATTAGATTAACTATGCTCCAATTTATATATGTAATAATAAAGTATGTACTTTATTGTAACTGGCTTCAACATTATGTCTGCAAAGTTTCGTCTTGCTGTTTTGTGTAGCAAGACTTTGTTCTTTCCATTGTTTTGTAGTATCCCATTTTATGACTATCCTGTAATTTATTCATAAGTTATTCAATTTTCATCCAGTTTAGAGTCCATTTAAAACTAGGCACTTTTTATTTCAATCCTTTCTGATATATACTCTTTATATATTTTGTCTCACTTAAATATTTTTTGTCTAAATTTCCAACCATGAACCTAAACTTTAGGGCTTTGACAGATTCAAATGAAAAGAACCTGTAAGGGAGTCAAATAACAACGAAAGTGTAGCTGCCTGAGATGAGAAAAGACAATAAGGAACCTAAAAGTACAAGAGCAGAATTGAAATAGGCATTGGAATAATCAGGTGAATAAGAAAGAGTTTTATAAGCATCCAGGAAGGGAAAAAGACCTATAAATTAAGCACTTCTACAGATGGACTACTACTTTATTTTCAATACAAAAACCCAACACACAATACAGCAATGACTCCAGAGTTTTAAGAAAAACAAATTCTTGTGAAAGAATTCTGTACCCAGGCTTTAGTGATTTATGTTTACAAGCAACATAAAGACTTTTTCATATTTACAAGGGCTTGGGAAATATGTCATTCTAAATACAATTAAAACAATTCCTCAACAAAAACTCTTGGTTACTGGGTGCTTAATCAGAATGTATGTTCAAGATTGGGAAAGTTGTAATGTAAAAACTTGATTTGAAAAATCAAATAGTAAAATATGCATTTAACACTAAATGGATAATGCAAATATTATTAAAAGCAAAAAAATCCAAAAATAATTCTTGAAATCATACATAATATAAAATGCGAAAATTAAAATACGCATATTTAAAACACCAAATTATGTCATTGGAAAATTGATAGAGAAGGATGGGAGAAATGAAAGTATACTAATTTCCTCAATCTATGTAAGGAAGGATCCAGGAAATATTTCATGTAGATGTGACTAATTAGAGAAATATCTATTCAAATGTCTATTCTGAATAATCATCATCAGTAGAATAAAACTCAGCATATCCATCCAAATGATGTGATTTAAAAGAGTAAATTACTACAGAGAGCAAAATGTTGAAAACAGAGGAAAATGCAAGCAAGCATATAAGATAAAATAACAACATAAGCTGAGAAAATTAAATATTTCATTTCTGAAAATAAGTTTAAATGAGGTTTATGTTCTATTAAAGACGGAGTCTCATATTTACACAAGAAAACATCCAACCAAGTGTACGCATGGTGATGTAGAAAGGCTGGCATCACTTTTGTTTAGCATTGTGTTCTATGATGTAGCCCATGCAATAAGACAAGAAAAGGATGAGGAAGATTTGACTGTCTAACTTAAAACGTAACAGAACCAATTGAAAAATTAAGACCAATAAGATAATCACTGTGGTGGTTAGTTCAAAAGAAATGTAGTAAAGGATCTATTAACTAATTTTCATTTAATTGATGTGTCCTATTAACCAATGCTCTTCATTCCCTCTGTTCAATATACTAAACGATTCTCATGATACACTGAACACAAGAGACCTAATGTCTGAGCATACGTACACCCAGAAGTTGTGTTGTATGCCTTTAAGTCAGTTGGATTTCCCCAAATCTGCTTATACTATTTGTATTCATTTTTGTAATTATGTAATTTTATTAAATGTTACAAAATCTAATAAGATGTCATTGTGAATGTAGAAGTATTTAATGAAAATTAATAGTTGAGTGTTTGAGAAATACTTGATAATTATGAGTTGCTAAAAATTTCTGTGGAATAAGATATGAGCCAGATCACTATAAACGACTAAGAGGAAAAATGGTAAAACTTTGAGCAATTTTAGATTCTTATTTGACATGAGTCTAATGTTCACTCTGTGATATAAAAGCTAAAAGTGGAGTTAATATATGAGGTATGAAAAGAAAAGTTTTGACTTCAGGCAACACAAACTCAAGTAAAGCTCTTGGCCTTATATCAAAAGATTGATGAATACATATCCATTTTTATGTTTTAATTTAAAGTAAAATGAATAAATAAGTGAGTAGTTCATGATTTCAATCACAGTGCTTTCTTTTTTTTTAATCAGGGATACTAATTTGAATGCCCTTCCCTCAAATAACAGCCAAAATGAATGAATGATAAATAACATGCTGGTGAATAAACTTAATAAGGAACAAATAGGAACTCTTTGAAAAAACTACTAAGCTTTGTACATATGTGCCTCGATGGAAAATCCGAATATTTTAGTGTTAATTGACACTGAAATAATGTGTGAATTTCATGCAGTTCCTATAAAAAATGCCTAGAAGAATAAACAGGTGAAAAGACAAGAGAATGTTAGAAAAAGAAAAAGAAAAAATAAAAGAGTGCCACAATGGAGCAAACTTGCATCACAAGACATTAAAATATGTCATAAATATTATATGTTATAAAATATGGTATATATTACATCATAAATCAACATAGTGCGCTAGAGATCCAGCACACTAGAACAGAGTCATTAATAATAAATTGTTCTATAGCACTTGTTGTGTCAGACATTATGCTACGCACTTTACATTTATTAATTCATTTCATAACAGCCCTGTAAAAAGGGGCTCTTATACCTGTTTTACAGATGAGAAAATTGAGACACAGAGAGGTTAAGTAACTTGCCCATGATCACACAGCTAGCAAGCATTGAGATGGGAATTTAAATATAGGCTGCCTCCAGAGTCCCTTGTCTTAGTCACTGTATTATATTGTCTCTGTCTACTATGTGCATCAGTTTCATTATCTGTAAAATGAAACTGAAAAAATATGTATCTACTTCCCCAGTTGTTGAGAGACTCAAATTATTCTGTGAAATTGCTTAGAACAGTCCAGAGGCAGAGTACAAATTCAATGCATATTAACTATTCTCACTATTTCAAATCAATTAGAAAGAATCAATTTCCTAATATGGTGCGAGTACAATGGGCTAACAATTTTTAAAATTAACTCCATAATGCATTATACATCAAAATTTATTTCTGACAGACTTAATATTCAAATATTTTAAAAAGTAAAAGAAAACTAGAAGATAGTATAGATGAACATTTTTCAGATCTCAGACTACAACCAAATGACTGACAACCAAACGAGTGGAGTCCATAAAAATATTGATATTTTGACAATGAAAATTTAAAAGTTCTAGGTGTCAAAAACAAATAAGCAGACTGAATAGAAAATGAAATTTTACAATCCAGCAAGAAATAAACCCATCATTAGAAAAACAGGCAATTCAAAAAAGAAATATGCAAAGGCAAACAAATATATAAAAATTCAATCTCATTAGTATTCAAATAAATATAAAATTAAACAAAATTGGATACTGTTTCTGTTTACAAACTTATAGTAATGGGAAAAAAGATAACACGTGGTATTGTCAAAGTTCCAAGGAGAGACATATTCCCAAATACTGCTCCTGGGAGGATAAAGTGCTATAAAAATATGTGGAGTGCATTCTGGTAATATGTAATGAAGACTCGAAGAAATGCAAACACTTTGATTCACCAATATTGTTTTAAGGAATTTATTCTTATAAACTAAGCATGAGTATGTGCACAAAATTGTTGACAGGAATGTTCATCAGTTTTCAATATCATGGTGAAAAATTGTATCAACCTAAAGATCAATAATAAGAAAATGCTTAAATTAATCGTGGTCTAGCCATGTGAAGGAACATGAAATCATTTAAAAATGATGTTGCAGAAAAATATTTAATAAGATTAGGAAGGGTCAATAAAAAACAGATTGTAAAAAAGCATTATCTCATAATTACTTTTAAAAAATAATTATGTCTATTCATAAAAAATAGAAGAACAGGGGCGAGCCCGGTGGCTTAGCGGTTAAGTGCGCGCCCTCCGCTACTGGTGGCCCGGGTTCTGATCCCGGGCGCGCAACAACGCACCGCTTCTCCGGCCATGCTGAGGCCGTGTCCCACTTACAGCAACTAGAAGGATGTGCAACTATGACATACAACTATCTACTGGGGCTTTAGGGAAAAAAAAGGAGGAGGATTGGCAATAGATGTTAGCTCAGAGCCGGTCTTTCTCAGCAAAAAGAGGAGGATTAGCATGGATGTTAGCTCAGGGCTGATCTACCTCACAAAAAAAATAATAAAAAAATTAAAAAAAATAAAAGAACATACCTCAAAATGTTAACGATGGGTATTACCAGGTTGGTGGGATAGTGGTTCTTTGTGTTTGTGGCTTATGTTTTTCTGTATTTAACAATTCTAAAATGAACAAACACAATTTTGCAATCATAAAATAAATTAAAAATTTTCCTTTACCT